ATATTCTTCCTTGTGTTGATAAAAGCAGATGCACACCCCCGTCCTTCCAGCTCTGCCAGTCCGCCCAGATCGATGAATGTAGGACTCTACATCCTATTGAAGTAAAATACATAAATAACACTAAACCAAAAGAGAGAGACAAACACCTGAGTAGCCTATGCAGGTCAGTGAACACTAGCAATTGTGGTTATAAGCCTCGGGGCATGAGGGAGAAGGTCCCTTAGCACTTCAATTTAAAAACCTCTGGCAATTTTTTTTTTTTTTGAGACAGTCTCACTCTGCCACCCAGGGTGGAGTACAGTAGCACAATCACAGCTCACTGCAGCCTCAACCTCCCGGGCTCATGCAATCCACCCATCTCAGCCTCCAGAGTAGCTGGGACTACAGGCATGTGCCATCACATCTAATTTTTGTATTTTTTATAGAGATGAGGTTTTGCTGTGTTGGCCAGACTGGTCTTGAACTCCTGAGCTCAAGCAATCTGCCTATCCCAGCCTCCCAAAGTGCTGGGATTACAGGCATGAGCCACCATGCCTGGCCCAAAACTCTTTCATTTACAAAACTTTCCTGAACTATTTCATGCTGATTGACATCCAGGATTTCCTTTGATCATGGACTCCCTGTGTCTGTTTTTCAAATAAGCATTTACAGTAATTGTGGAAACCACTATAAAAATGATGCCCAAAATGAGTGGTTCTTTAACAGAGAATGTAGGTCACCACCAGGAGGCATCTGGAAAATGGCTTCTGGTTTTTATAATGCCAACCCTACCTACCCTGAGTATGCTGCACAGGGGAATCAGCCACGGATCCTAAACAGCTAAATATCCTTCCATTTGCAGGACAATCCCATAAAAAATAATTCTCTTGCCTCCAATGTCAGCAGCACCTCCATTTGACAAACGGTTAATTAACCCAATCCTCAGCATCTAGACATTTACTATTAACGAAACAATCAACTTTCATCCTACCAGGTGAGGAACTGGATTAACGTAGATTTGGAATGTAATCTGTGGTCTAATCAGCCAGTGGGTGAGAAGCACTTATACTATACCTAAGATATTATCTCTTAAAATATCCTAGACAAAGCAAACTATTTTAATAGTGGTTTCCTTTGGTAAACAGGATTGGACAGGAATGAGTATCACGCCTGTAATCTTAGCACCTTGGGAGGCTGAGGTGGGAGGACTGCTTGAGCCCAGGAGTTTGAGACCAGCCTGGGCAACATAGTCAGACCCTGTCTCAAAAATTAAAAAAATAAATTTTTAAAAAGTCAAATCTTATTACTATACAAAGACATGCAGTATTTGAACAAACACTAAAACAGACCATAGCAGTGGTAGGGGACATACCTGATGGCATCTTTGCTGGAAGCTTTTATTATTTCTGTTGCAGAAGGAACACCTATTCGTTTGAACTTAATTCCCTACAGGAAAATGAACCACAGTTTAATGTACAATGGCCATCAATTGTTTCCAATAAGATAAAGTAGTTCCCTAATTTTTTAAATATAGGCCAAATGTATTTATTACCTTAAAAAATGAATTTTCAATTATAGATTTACAGAAAAGCTACAAAGACAGTTCAGAGAGCTCCAGGTTTCTGCTACTGTTAACATCTTACACTGTTAAGGTATATTTGTTTCAACTAAGAAACCAACATTGCTAAACTATTAACCAAACCCCAGACTTTATTCCATGTCTGTCTTTCCTTCTTTCCTTGTTTTTCATGACTGAAAGTTTTAACGAGTGCTGGTCAACAGTTCTGTAGAATGTCCCTCCATTTGAGGTTGTCTGGTGTTTTCCTCATGCTCAGGGTTATATACTTGGGGAAGGAATACCCGGCGTGAATGCTCGCCTCACCACCTCTTATCGGGGCACATGCCTATGTGCCTATCACTGATGACGTGACCCACAATCAGCAGGCCCAGCTAGTGTTTGTTCATCTCTCCACGGTAAAGTCCTCACTCCCCACCTTACTCTATTCTTTGAAAGCAAGTCCCTGAGTGCAGTCCACTCAAGAGGAAGGAGATGAGTTAAGCTCCTGAAGGGGCAAGAATCTACACACACTATTCCAATTCTTCTGGAGGAAAAATTAGTCTCTTCTCCTCTTTATCCTTTTGACATGCCCAAATTCATTTGATTTTCAAGCAATTCCTATAGCCCCTCAATCTTAATTATCTCTGGTTCATATTATCATTGTCTGAAAACTGCCTTTCAAACATATGAAAACAAAACCACTGTTTTCAAATGCAAAGTTACTTCAGAATGGGCCTTTTATCACAGGACAACATATGTACCTAACAGTAAGCTTTCAGTCATTGCCACACACTAGAAATAAAAATATTTTAAAGTGGATAAAAATTGAAGAAACTAAAGACTGACTTTAGAACTCAACATTTGCTTAATGAAAGGTAAGAATAGTTGTACCGCTTTTTGCTCCACTTGTACTAATTGATATTCTTCCTTGTGTTGATAAAAGCAGATGCACACCCCCGTCCTTCCAGCTCTGCCAGTCCGCCCAGATCGATGAATGTAGGACTCTACATCCT